CTGATTACAGTCAGAAAGCAGCAGGTCAAGTTGGAAAGCTCAGCGTGATTCTCACCTCCTCATAGCTCTTTGGAGGGTTTCTAGAAGAAGAACTTGCAGCTACTTCTAATGAGGGGGCAGGATTGGATGCTTTGGCCACTTCCTTCTTCTGTTTGTTTTGCGAGCTGTCTAGAGACAACTCTACCGTGGCATCTGTCAAGAGAAGTTTGCAAGGGTCAGCCTCTCTGCTTTGGGTTTCTAGAAAGGTAATTTCAATATTCTTGGAGAGGTTCACGGGATCTAGGAAGTAACAATAGTCTTAATTAGCAAAAAAAATCCATAGGGAGGACACCTGTAAGCAGTGGGAAGGGCACGACTTAACACATCTTCACTGCAGTTAAGAGCATTGGATCAATCCTGCTGGCGACCACGAAGTTAATTCAATGAACTTCTTATTCTAGGAGGAGCCAGACATCACCTCCTTGCCGTGTGCTAGAGGAGCTGCAGGCCAGAACAGCTAAAGCCAAGCTGGATTTTTACAGGGCGCGCAGGCCAGCCTGGAAGGTGGGCTCCTTCCCACTAAGCTTCTCCACAGAGAGGAAGTCAAAATTTTCATCTGTTAGCAGCTGCCTCCAGAACTGACTCGAATGCCTCTGCCAGAGGCGTCCCACCACACCAGGGCTGGGGAAGGTCTCACCCTCCTCGTTTTCCCCTGCTGAGGGGCATTGTGGTTCCTGTTCCCTGGGAACAGCCACATCTTGACTGGAGATGCTTCCTCCACCTGCACGGAGGGAGGAGAAGGTAAAGAACAAAAGCCTTTTAACTCGGGGAGGACACTCGCCACCTTACAGTTTAAGGCAACAGAACTAAAGCAAACCCCACTTTAATCCTCTTCAGCTTCCAAACAGTTAATCCTGCCGCATGATTACGCTAGAGACCTGGAGGAGGCTACTCCCATCTTCCCAAAAACACCACCAGACCTTAGCACTTCCAGAGCGGGCGGGAACAGGAGTTTGAGATAAGGACCTGTGATAGTCCAGAAATATCCATGATCTGCATGTCACGCTTAAAAGCAGATGACTCCAGGCTCAGAGAGCTCCAGCAAACACCCAGTAGATACAGACTCACCTGCAAATAAGTCCTGATCATCTTGCTCTACAGGAACCCCATTCTCTTTGGAGGCGCTGCTCACAGGGAGAAGAGTTTCCCTTTTTGGCGCCATGGGCTTGCTCTGTAAGAGAATTAAATGCACATAAACAGGAGGTTATTTGCACTGAGGAATGGAGGCTGGAGGACCAAACAGATCACATTCCGCAGCCACGCAGAGTCACTACTATGAGTCTCACGTGAGCACAGTGGCCAGAGGACATCAGACTGCTTCTCTTCCGCCCACCCTTGAGTGTTACGATCTCTGCCGGCAAGCTGCTGAGCCATTAAGGACACTGTGTGTCACATGAAGCTTCAGAGCCAGATTTACCTCTGATTTTTTAGCAGAATGGGAGCAGCTAGCAGGTCACTGGGTTGTGCCAGCCCACAGGCCAAGTGTCACAGCCCCAGTCCTTCAGCTGCAGGTGTTGGGAGCAGTAGGCAGTCAAGAGCTCCTGTTCACAACACCCAAAACGCACCCAGCCGCACCATTTCCAGGTAGCAACTTGCACACCGGCACCAACGCCACGTCAAGGCAGGTGGGCAGCACTAGGGAGATTCCTGAGCGTAACTACAATGAGCCGAGCATGCTGCCCACAGGAGATCCCTTGGGAAAGCCAAGATGTCACCACCGGTGGCGGAGACCCTTGGCAATTTGCTTGCCTGAAGGCAAAACGCCAGGAACCACGGGAGCCTCATCAAGCTGCTTAACTTGTGCTAGTAGTTAAACCGCCACCACGAGCCAAGCTGCCCTTCCCCAGAGGGCTGGTTAGGGCCCAAGCGAAGGCAGCCGGGCCGCGCTTTAACGTCACAGCTCACTTCTACTTCCAAGCGGTCCCACAGGAGCTCACGGACTTCGCTGGACTAAAGCTGGGCATGGCTCTTGATGTTTTGCAGAGCGATACTGGCAAAGACTCACACACCATGCTCTGCAACCCAAGCTCGGCCAGGACGAGCCAGCTCCAGGGCCGGGACTTACAACATGGCTAATCGTGCCACAGCAAACCGCCCCTTTGGCATGCAGCTTCGCTGGGAGGGCTATCCCAGCTACTGGGAGCAGGCTAGGGGACAAGGTGAAAGCAGACCCGAGAGCTCGTACACCAACC